CATCACCCCTGTCTTTTGAACATCTCCCCTGTCTTTTGAACATCTCGTTTTTTTTAACATCACCCCTGTCTTTTGATCATCTCCCCTGTCTTTTGAACATATCCTCGGTTTTTTGAACATCACCCCTGTCTTTTGAACATCTCCCCTGTCTTTTGAACATCTCGTTTTTTTTAACATCACCCCTGTCTTTTGAACATCTCCCCTGTCTTTTGAACATATCCTCGGTTTTTGAACATCACACCTGTCTTTTTGAACATCTACTCGGTTTTTGAACATCACCCATGTCTTTTGAACATCTCCCTGTCTTTTGAACATCTCCTCGGTTTTTGAACATCACCCTGTCTTTTGAACATCTCCCCTGTCTTTTGAACATCTCGTTTTTTTAACATCACCCCCTGTCTTTTTGAACATCTCCCCTGTCTTTTGAACATATCCTCGGTTTTTGAACATCCCCTGTCTTTTGAACATCTCCCCTGTCTTTTGAACATCTCGGTTATTTGAACATCACCCCTGTCTTTTGAACATCTCCTCGGTTTTTTGAACATCTCCTCGGTTTTTGAACATCACCCCTGTCTTTTGAACATCTCCCTGTCTTTTGAACATCTCGGTTATTTGAACATCACCCTGTCTTTTGAACATCACCCCTGTCTTTTGAACATCTCCTCTCTTTTTGAACATCTCCTCGGTTTTTGAACATCACCCCTGTCTTTGAACATCTCCCCTGTCTTTTGAACCTCTCGATTATTTGAACATCACCCCTGTCTTTTGAACATCTCCCCTGTCTTTTGAACATCTCGGTTATTTGAACATCACACCTGTCTTTTGAACATCTCCTCGGTTTTTTGAACATCACCCCTGTCTTTTGAACATCACCCCTGTCTTTTGAACATCACCCCTGTCTTTTGAATATCTCTCCTGTCTTTTGAACATCTCGGTTATTTGAACATCACCTCTGTCTTTTGAACATCTCCCCTGTCTTTTGAACATCACCCCTGTCTTATGAACATCTCCCCTGTCTTTTGAACATCTCAGTTATTTGAACATCACCCTGTCTTTTGAACATCACCCCTGTCTTTTGAACATCTCCCCTTTTTTTGAACATCACCCCTGTCTTTTGACCATCACCCCTGTCTTTTGAACATCTCCCTGTCTTTTGAATATCTCCTGTCTTTTGAACATCTCAGTTATTTGAACATCACCACTGTCTTTTGAACATCTCCCCTGTCTTTTGAACATCTCCTCGGTTTTTTGAACATCACCCCTGTCTTTTGAACATCACCCCTGTCTTTTGAACATCTCCCCTGTCTTTTGAATATCTCTCCTGTCTTTTGAACATCTCGGTTATTTGAACATCACCCCTGTCTTTTGAACATCTCCCCTGTCTTTTGAACATCTCCTCGGTTTTTTGAACATCACCCCTGTCTTTTGAACATCACCCCTGTCTTTTGAACATCTCCCTTGTCTTTTGAAAATCACCCCTGTCTTTTGAACATCTCCCCTGTCTTTTGAACATCTCGATTATTTGAACATCACCCCTGTCTTTTGAACATCACCCCTGTCTTTTGAACATCTCGATTATTTGAACATCACCCCTGTCTTTTGAACATCACCCCTGTCTTTTGAACATCATCCCTGTCTTTTGAACATCTCGATTATTTGAACATCACCCCTGTCTTTTGAACATCACCCCTGTCTTTTGAACATCACCCCTGTCTTTTGAACATCACCCCTGTCTTTTGAACATCTCGATTATTTGAACATCACCCCTGTCTTTTGAACATCACCCCCCTGTCTTTTTGAACATCACCCCTGTCTTTTTGAACATCACCCCTGTCTTTTGAACATCACCCCTGTCTTTTGAACATCTCGATTATTTGAACATCACCCCTGTCTTTTGAACATCTCCTCGGTTTTTGAACATCACCCTGTCTTTTGAACATCACCCCTGTCTTTTGAACATCTCCCCTGTCTTTTGAATATCTCTCCTGTCTTTTGAACATCTCAGTTATTTGAACATCACCCTGTCTTTTGAACATCTCCCCTGTCTTTTGAACATCTCCCTGTCTTTTGAACATCTCGATTATTTGAACATCACCCCTGTCTTTTGAACATCTCCTCGGTTTTTTGAACATCACCCCTGTCTTTTGAACATCACCCCTGTCTTTTGAACATCTCCCCTGTCTTTTGAATATCTCTCCTGTCTTTTGAACATCTCAGTTATTTGAACATCACCCCTGTCTTTTTGAACATCTCCCCTGTCTTTAGAACATCACCCCTGTCTTTTGAACATCCCCTGTCTTTTGAACATCTCGATTATTTGAACATCACCCCTGTCTTTTGAACATCACCCCTGTCTTTTTGAACATCTCGATTATTTGAACATCACCCCTGTCTTTGAACATCACCCCTGTCTTTTGAACATCACCCCTGTCTTTTGAACATCTCCTCGGTTTTTGAACATCACCCCTGTCTTTTGAACATCTCCCTGTCTTTTGAACATCTCAGTTATTTGAACATCACCCCCTGTCTTTTTGAACATCACCCTGTCTTTTTGAACATCACCCCTGTCTTTTGAACATCTCCCTGTCTTTTGAACATCACCCCTGTCTTTTGAACATCTCCCTGTCTTTTTGAACCTCTCGATTATTTGAACATCACCCCTGTCTTTTGAACATCACCCCTGTCTTTTGAACATCACCCCTGTCTTTTGAACATCACCTCGGTTTTTTTTGAACATCACCCTGTCTTTTTTGAACATCTCCCTGTCTTTTGAACATCTCAGTTATTTGAACATCACCCCTGTCTTTTGAACATTGTCTTTGAACATCACCCCTGTCTTTTGAACATCTCCTCCGTTTTTGAACATCACCCTGTCTTCTGAACATCTTCCCTGTCTTTTGAACATCTCTCCTGTTTTTGAACATCTCCTCGGTCTTTTGAACATCTCCCTGTCTTTTGAATATCTCCTCGGTTTTTTGAACATCACCCATGTCTTTTGAACATCTCCCCTGTCTTTTGAACATCTCTCCTGTTTTTTGAACATCTCCTCGGTCTTTTGAACATCTCCCCTGTCTTTTGAACATCTCCCCGGTTTTTTGAACATCACCCCTGTCTTTTGAACATCTCCCCTGTCTTTTGAACATCTCCCCTGTCTTTTGAACATCTCTCCTGTTTTTTGAACATCTCCTCGGTCTTTTGAACATCTCCCCTGTCTTTTGAACATCTCCTCGGTTTTTTGAACATCACCCCTGTCTTTTGAACATCTCCCCTGTCTTTTGAACATCTCTCCTGTTTTTTAACATCTCCTCGGTCTTTTGAACATCTCCCTGTCTTTTTGAACATCTCCTCGGTTTTTTTGAACATCACCCCTGTCTTTTGAACATCTCCCCTGTCTTTTGAACATCTCTCCTGTTTTTTAACATCTCCTCGGTCTTTTGAACATCTCCCGGACTTTCCTGTTTATCACTGTTTATTTCTTTTCTAAAGTCTTTTCCTTCTCTTTCACTCCTGGTTTCGCCTTACATCCTGCTGGCATTATCTTCTTGCTTGAAGTGATTCCTCTTATTCTATAACCCTCTACCTCGAGTAACTCTTGAGCAATGTACGGGATGAACATCATTGTGAAAAAAAAACACAAAAAAAACACTCTCTTTTAGAAATTATTCAACACTTCAATTAAATATGTTAACCAAAGATCGTTATTTCGATTTAGTCTTTAAATTGAAACGAGTACTATGTGGGTGGGGGGATGTTATTGACATTATGTCTTTAAGGCATAAGGACCTTATTTTCAAGTTGTTAAGTAATTCCTAACATATTTGCTGCCACTGTCGTACAACATAATAACAATATTTTTATTGAAGTCATTAACTAACTACTAAAGGGACCCTTCGATATGGTATAATTGTTAGCAACTTTGTCTCGCTCAATCAGTTACGTCCGAATAGGACGTTCGATCCTTCCTATGTGCTCCACATTTTCGGCCTTGTATCACATCTAAGCAACGCTTAGAAAATCATTTTAGCACTCCGATGTGTTGTAATGATTAGCAAGCTTGTCTCGCTCGATCAATTAAGACGGAATAGCGAGTTCGATCATCACTAGATGTTTCACACTTTCGGCCTTGTGCCACATGTAAGATACGGTTTGGGAATCAGTTCGGTTCTTCGACGTGGTGTAATCGTTTGCAAGCTTCTCGGGACATAGGCGATCATGGGTCTTCAAATTTTCCGTCCCAGAATAGCTCTTAATAAATCTAGTCTTTTCTGTTATCTCTCCTAAAATTTGTTCCGCCGTTCATTTACTCAAGCTTACTAAATAGTCAGAAAGAATTAAAATATTGTGCACACTGACTAAATAGGAGAAATATGGAGGAAGAAAAATAGATATATCTATAATATATTGACGCAGATATATCTATAGACTGATTACACCTAGTACTAACTAAAATCCTTTCTCTTTTTTTGCATACGGATGGTTGTCTTAATAGTTAAAACAGCACCGAAGGGTGAAGAACCTTCTCGACGCAAGTCAATGTCGAGGGCGGAAAGATGAACTACAACGGCCGCCTCTTCACGACCAAAGCGAGCCACCTGGTTGGAAGATATCGGCTGTGGTCTAATCTGGACACAGCCAGGTTAAAACGCCCAAGGCCCGCTACATAACATGTACACCAAGAAACCATTCAAGTAGGATCAGGCACTTTTTTTCTTGTTGAGACAACGAGACTGCAGCGAAAGAAGAAGCTGTCATTGTGTGTTTGTGGGGAGAGTGCTTGATGTTTGTGCTATATTAAGCAGTCGAATAGGATAAAAAAAGAAAAGAAAAAAACTAAGAGGATTAGATGAAATAATAATGAATAAACAGGATGCAGAAGCACAAAGAAAGCGTAAAAAGAAATGCTAGAAAAGAAAAGAAAAAAGAGCAACAAGAAGAGATAGAAGAAAACGGAGAAGAGAAAAGACAATAACAGAAAAGGAAGGGAAAAAAGTGGTATTTGTCTAGGAAAAGAAGGACAGAAAAAATAATGATGACGAAGAAATACTAGACAAGAAGAAGAAGAAGAAGAAAATTGTCATGTCTGTTTTCATTGCACCTTGAAGAAAGTGAAAACAAAATGGCGCCTTATACTAAAAAGAACATCTAAAGACGAAATTTCTGGATTCATACTGAGGAAAGTGCGCATGTCGAAGTTAACGCTCAAGAGATATACTGAAGGCAGGTTATCAGAGCGCTACAGCTAGTAACCTACTGTTGTATCCTTAATGAAAGGTGGTGCTTGAGAAGGAACAGTAACACGCGTGTAGAAGAAAGAGAGTTTTATTGTAAAAGAGTATAAACTACTGGAAGACAAGGAATCGGGTGGCAGGCTACTAATTTCCGAAGCAAGGATATTTACCTTACTTTCCCGCGAGGCAGGATGTGGTACAATGCTTTTTTAATGCGGGGCAAAACCGAGTCCGTAGGCTCGGGCATAATTTCCCTGTGGATCCCGTAAAAACGTCGTCGGGTAACTGTCTACCACCCCAGACGTGACTCTGCCCTTTGGCATAGCCTCGCCTGGGTTCCTCTCTGTCCGAAAGCAAAGAGTTCGACCAGCAGAACTGGAGAGGATTGTCCAACTAATTGCTGAAGTAAAGATATTCACCTACCGCCCCACTCGGTTGGATGCGGCCCATGCCAAGTTTATTGTGGGATAACTGAGCCCGTAGGTTCGGCCAAAAATATCCCCATAGACCCCGTAAAAACGGTGTCGGATAGCTGTCTACCAGCCCAGACGAGACTCTGCCCTTGGCATAGGCTCGTCTTGTTTCCTCTCTGCCCGAAGGCAGAGATTCCGACCAGCACAGCTGGAGAGGATTCTGCAACTAATTGCCGAAGTAAACCCCCACTATATAGCTACTGATATAGTGAGTCCACATAGGCAATAGGAAGTATGGGACAATCCATTAGAACATCTACCTAACAAATTCATGTGTTGGTGTTAGAGAAAGGACCAATGTGAAATAATCAAATGTTGCTTATAGTTAAGAGGGAGAGTAAGTTGTGTAGATCCATGATCGCCAACGTCCTACAGGTGTGTGGCTTATAAGAGAATGTATGTAGACAGTGTCCACTCCTATACTGATCCTGTTTTGCTTCAATCCTTGAGTGACAATGAAAAAAATATGTCTGCTGGTTGAGAACAAATGTCTGATGACTAAATCCCGAACTTCATAGTTACTTTTCTAAAATTTACCAGGAACTCTTGGACTCATTGTATGTTTTGAAATTTCAATTGTGACCATTTTTGTGATCCATTTTTCCCTAAAACTTCGTCGTTGCTCACGTGTACAGCGCATGGGATCTTCGGCATCACATCTCTGTTGCCTCAAGTCTTTTCTTCCTCTACGAGAAGATTATTCCAAGATTATCATGTGGTATCGGTCCTCTATGAAGGAGGACCGATATGTGACATTATTTGGCTTGCTAAAAGGGAGAAAGGAGAAAAGAAAAAGGAAAGAAAAAAAAGAAAGGCAAGAATTAAAATTAGGTAATAAGAAGCCATCACGAAAAGGACACTAAGCGGTGTTATTTTTCTGACAAGGAAAAATGGTAAAATTTTTATTTTCCATTGTCGAGAAGGTAAAAAGGAAGATACTGGAATTTATCTGATTTAGGTTACGAGGCGGGTGGAAATTCCAGGTTGGCCAAATAACCTCAGAGACAGAATTCTAAATAGATAAAGATTGACTTTGTCTCAAAATGTTCATTTGGACCACACAAAGTTACAAAAACAAAAGACCAAACCATAAGGTCGTTTGGAAAAGCATCTGTTTTGTGTCGAAGCTGGCTGTGGCGGTGAAATTATTTTATCGGGGATAACGCCAGAATGCGAAACGTCTGATTGACCACCCACTTGATAATTGGCGAAAATCTCGTTGACGACTTCCATATGAAATTCGGCTGTGTGGCGAAATTGTTTTATCGGATCAGTGGTTGGCGCCAGGAGTGTAGGTACGTCTGGTTGACCACCCACTTGTTAATTGACGAAAATCTCATTGACGAATTCCAGGTAATTCGGTTAAAAGATAAAAAGTCTAGGGTGTGAGGTTTCCTCGAAGAGAAGAAAGAAAAAGAAAAATGAAAAAAAGATTTTTTTTTTCTTTGAGCAAGATTTTTTAAACCAAGCCTAGTCTGGCCACACCCACGCCACTGAGCGCCCATTGGCTGAATGATAGCAGGAGTATTGGGCGGAGGTAATCATGTGAAGCAGGAGGGGAGGCCTGCTGGTATCTATTGAGGGGATAGGTGTGGGATGCCACTGTGACGAAGAGGGAGAACCGTTGACACCCTCTGAGGGTATGGTGAGATACCAATACGAGAACAGAAGAAGGTGGGAGGACGAGAAGACTTCCAAAAATGGAAAATAATAAAATTTTCCTGACCGAAAACAATGAAGTGGATTTAGGGTTTGGAATTATCAAGGAACCTCAAACCCCGACAGGATCACCCCGGTTTTGGTCGGCGTCCATATAAGCAAAGTCGCAGCGAGCGAAAATCAGTTTTCAGTTCGAGATCCAGGCAGTTGAGTTAAGTTCGAAGTTTGCAGTTGAAGTTGGTCCCGCCTCGCAGAAGCTAACTAAGATTCACGCAATTCCGACTCATCTTCTAATCAAGAACAATTTATTTTAGAAGAACGACTTAGACACACACCACCAAAACATGTTTTACGAGTTTCCCCTGAAGACACACCAAGAACCAGTTTCTTAAAAGAACAAACAACTTAAGATGTTAAGACTCGCCTAACAACACAAAGTCTCACGAATCCATATAGCGGGTTGTGAGAAGACTCAGTCCTGTACTCAGCAACCAGATATAAAGTATTGTTATCGTTTTTTTAACACATTTGAACTTTTCGAGTTATTATTTTATTTTCTTTTACACATACTTGTGTGATATCACCCTTGTTCGAACTCGGCTTGCAGTACGGCCCAGCGACTGATTGATTTTGTCTGCCTAGATCAATTCACAACGTGGGTAGGTTGGACTGGAAATCAAAGCAGTTACTTCGGTAACCAGACGTTGGAAGCGAGCTGGGAATGACAAGGCTGATACCGAATGTAACCAGATTCCCATCCGAATCAGTAAAAGGTTAGAACGTCACATTTGGTGCCGCGATCAATACCAAGCCAGTTGGTCGTCACAAGACGGGATAGCACGACGGACGCAGACAAGCGAACGTCACATTTGGTGCAGCGACACCGGGGGGACTTCACAGTTATCGCATGATATTTCTCTGTTTTTAATGAAATGTTCCTGTTTCTTAATATTTTGCTTAAATTTTGGAAGGAATTTTTCGCTATTCCAATGCACCTCGGATTTCGGTGTCACATTTTCCTTCCTCTGTTAAAACACTTACCACTTATTTTATTGTTTCTTAATATTTTGCTTAACTTTTGGAAGGAATCTTTCGCTATTCCAATGCATCTTCGGATTTCGGTGTCACATTTTCCTTCCTCTGTTAAAACACTTACCACTTATTTTATTGTTTCTTAATATTTGGCTTAATTTTTGGAAGGAATCTTTCGCTATTCCAATGCTTCTTCGGATTTCGGTGTCATATTTTTCATCCTCTGTTAAAACATTTACCACATATTTTATTGTTTCTTAATACTTTGCTTAAGTTTTGGAAGGACTCTTTCGCTATTCCAATGCATCTTCGGATTTCGGTGTCACATTTTCCTTCCTCTGTTAAAACATTTACCACTTATTTTATTGTTTCTTAATACTTTGCTTAACTTTTGGAAGGAATCTTTCGCTATTCTAATGCATCTTCGGATTTCGCTGTCGTATTTTCCATCCTATTAAAACACTTCCTAAATATTTAAAAGTTTATATTTGCTCGATTTCGGCGTCTCCATTTGTAGTTTGCATCTTGTATTGCTCCTTTTTCTTTACAATCATAAACAGTTCATCAGAAAGCAAGATAGCTTCTTTGTAAGACTAAATAGGTTCATTGTCTGCATGTTTCTTCAAACTATTAATATCCGTTTGAGTTTTCTCTCACAACCCCAATGGAAGAAAACCGCCATGTTGGCTTTTTCGTCTGCTGTAGCCATGCATGACTAAAGAGTATCATTAGTCCCAATGTGACCCTGGAATCCCTGCGGAGATGATCTCGTCATTTCATATGTATCGGTTAATATTTATCCATGCATTGATCTGGTGAAGCCCATCCGTCTACAGAGCAGATCACAGCCGAAATAGCCTACGTTGAAACATCGGTTCCAGTACGAAGTTAAGCGACGTCAAGCCTGGTCAGTACCTAGAGGGGTGAGCACTTGGGAAGAGTAGTTGCTGTAAACTTGGATGTGCAGGTGGTGTAATGGATAACTGCTCGGAATTGTTAATTCGAGAGTCGAGTTTCAATTTCAGTTGGATTCGTTATATTTACTCACGCGCTAATACGTTTGGGTAAAGAATGAATCCATTTCTTTTCTCCACAGTTATGGGTTAAGTAGTAAGACTTGTAACACTAAAACCATAATTATCTTTAAAAAAAAATTGCATAAAAATATTTAGGTTTCGGCATTAAATAACCTATATTGGTTGATATGCCGCTAAACAAATACAACTAACGAACAGTCGAAATAAAGACTTGCAATGGTCATGGACCCGTGGCCGTTGATTCGAACTGATTCGCAGAATATATTTTTTATTAATGATATTTAGAAAAACGTTCTAGAAAATATGTTTCGAAAAACAAAAAAAAATCCTATAATTTCTCTTATTCGGCTTCATCAGATCAAAGACGAAAAAAATATGTTGTGTGTGTATGCATTTGTGTGTGTTTAAAATAATGAAATCTTTTTTAGAATAATGAAATTTCTTTAAAAGTCATTCATTTTCTTTCACCTTTTTTTGTCACGAGCTACGCCAGCTTGGGAAAAATAAAAATATATTTCGTTATTTTAAACACAAACAAATGCATACACATTATTTCGTTTTCGATATGATG